CCGAAATGGCAGTCTTTGTGGAAAAATTCCACACGTCTTCAAGTAATTCGAGAGAGGGGTTATCGAAGGCCTTACCATCAAAATACGAATTATCTCAGTTTTGGCAATATACCATAGGGTTAGGTGTTTATTCTATACGAACCCAACATCATGGACTGTCATGAAAAATTGTGTGTTGTCTCACGTGCTGATCATGATTACAGCGTCCATTTTGTTCGCTTCTGCTTCATAGCGGTACGGTAGCAGTACTGTAGGATTTTCGTAAAAATCAGGAAACTCATGCAAGGAGGCGGGGTTAGAAGTTGAGACTATCATTTTCATTATCACCATACTACGAAACCTATATGTAACATTCGAGCTTCCTAGGATGAAAAATGCAAAAAATCAATAAAACCGATAATCTTCGGCTTGCTAGCATATGTGTCTTTCCCGGCCCGTATCTTCAGTGCCATGTGCATGAGTTTTCAAAACAGCATCATTCCCCAAAGAGTTTCTGCCGAAATCGTGCCTTGTCTCTATCTACGGTACCTACCGTAACATGTTACTAGGGCATCCTGAGCTCGAACCACTCTCGCTGAAGCTTCGCCTAAGTGTTCCCAGTCATATGCCAAAGCTCCGTATGAGCTTCAGAATTTTTAAAACCTCCGGTGGGTCGTACTGTCCAAAGCGGCAGAATACTACGACCCACCCTTGGGTCGTATTGTCGTGAATGTGTTAAAGTACCTACTCGGATTGCTACAGTACTCCCGCAGGCGCTGAAGTTCTGCATCTATCAACAAGTTTTTGGATCTTGCTGAATTTAATGAAATACAACTTATTATGAATAAAGTCGAAAGGCCTTCTGCTAGCATTTTTGCACACTCTACAATTAAATAAACTATTGTGCGCTATTGGATACTTCAAGTTAATCGACTATTGTGCACTATTGTGTGTTAAGCACTTTGTTCAAATAAAGTTCTCCGATTATGCTTCAGTAATGCTAGTTTATCATGTGCATTCTATGGCCTGTAACTCCTCTTACAAGATAACTTGTGGATATTGTTGCAATTAGAGCACCTAGATGACCATCAATCTTACGCGATTCATGCTAATTAGCCGATGACTGCTGGATCAAGCAAATCTGGTTTTGCGGTCGAACGAAAGCTGCGAAAGCGAAAAAACCAGATTAGCCATGCGAAAGCGTGCTACTATGTAAGCAATAGAGTATAAAAGTAGGATACTACTTTCCTTCTCATCAGCTCCGTCATGCCTTGACACATTTTTCTACTTTGAGCTCATTCTTCTTCAATGTCCTAACTGAAAGTGATTCTTGCAGATGGGTGCTACTCTTCAGTATGCCATTGGCGGAACGTTTATCGCCACTGCTCTGATAATGGGCGTTGCTTGTATGATCGTCTTCGACGTGATTAGCGACATCAACAATTTTCAGAGTGAAATCGAAGACGAGCTCGACCGGTTCAGAGTTCGTTACATTGTGTTATATCCTCTCAATGCACTCTCACTAAATCTGCTTTTATCATAGAATCTAGCCGACGATGCTTGGAAGACAATGATGCAAAGCCGAAACACGGTTGACTCAGTCTTGAGGCTCAAACGAGCTTATCGCTTAGAAGGCACAGCTGCGTATGCAGGTAGTAGCGGAGGATGGGCAGGAAGTGGCGGCGGCGGTGGCGGATGTCAGTGTGCTGCTCAAGCCAGTGGCTGCCCTCGCGGTCCTCCAGGTAACGAAGGAGGTAGCGAGATAAGCAAGCATTCCCCCACTTCTTCAGGACCACCTGGACTTCCTGGGCATCCTGGAGAAGATGGTATACCAGGACTGTCCGGAGGAGCAGGACAAAGTGGGCATGCGGCAGCTATGGGTCATGCAGCGGGTTGTA